TGTCTTCTTACGCATGTAAAATGGAAATTCCCACTCTTACGTTCCAAGATTCCCGGTGGATAGTGGCAAACATGGCAAACATCTCATATATTGTGTCAATTTCTGTATATATGCATCTATGATAAAGTGCAATTCATAAATTAGGTACAATATGAGGTTAACAGAAACAACTAATAATAAAATAGAATAATGAACAATAATAAAAAATTGTGTGACGAATTCATTCTTTTGCAAATACTTTCAGCATTACTTTTTTTTCGAAAACTTACACTTATTTCCTAAAAGAAAGCACTTTACAATTCCTTTTTGCCATAATATAAATTGCCATCACCACTACTTGTGTTTTATAACTATTATTAAGTAAAACTCAGGAATTGTCTATTTGGGGATAACTGAGCACAAATAACTGAAATCTCAGAACGGTCAACTGTCGATAAGGGGAATAACTCTGTACTATTTTTCAATATGTAATCTCTCATGACTAAGTTATTTACTGCTGTTGTTGTTATTATCTATCTCATTTTTGTCCATCTGATACCTTTTTATGAAATTAATTTTAAATTTAATTTCTCCATTTAACAAAATACATTCTAAACGATGTTTGCATTAGAGGAATACAAAGTAATATCTCAAGGACTATCGCATTAGATATTTCAAAGGGCCTTTGACAGGGTATATACATTTGGCATAAAGGATTACTGTACAAGCTCTGTAGCTATGGAATCACTGGAAGTGTCACCTGAATTACAAAGTCCTTTATAACGGCTAGGTCTCTGAAGGTAGTTGTTAACAGCAAGTCTTCCGAGGCCCAAGCAATCAATTACAAGTCCCTCAAGGTTAGCTCCGCAATCCGACCTTCTTTATACTTTACATAAATGATCTACTTAAGAGTATACTCTGATCCTTTGTGAATATCTATGCTGATGATACAACGATATATAGGTGCACCTCCAAAACTCTACATGACCAGAGCTTAGCAGCTGATCTCTCCTCTGGCCCAGCACTAACAGCTTAGTGGAGGGAAAAACTGGCTGATCACATTCAATGCTTTGAAAACCAAACCAGTGACATTCCATCATCACTGAGTGGACCCAGAACTTTCATCAATTGTGATGAATTGGTGTTCCCTCTTGCAAGCCCCACACCTTGAGTGCCTAATGGGACTTAAACTACCCAACACACCAAGTGGAACTTGTATATACTCTTGTATTATACTTGTTAATGATACTAGAAAAATGGTCACTTCTCTGTACTGTTCCAGTAAGTGTCCAACTTCTCCTGTAAGCTTTTACAAGGACTAGATGAGGCTGAAAATGGAGTACTGTCATTATATATGGGAAGGAACTACTGAGTCTCCAAAAGCACCTCCGTGTCCTTGTGGGTGACAAAGTATTTTCCAACCTACAATCCTTTTCTCACAGACAAATTACCTTCCTTAGTTCTACCAGTTCTAACCTTAACATTTAAGAAAGAGTTGCCATGGCACATGAATTGTAGTAAATTCTCTTTATATTCCATTGGAAAGACATTAGTTCTACGTGAGCAGCTTCTTCCCACAAAATTCTGCTTTGTGGAACTGATTCCCAAGAGGATGCTTCCCCAGTAACTACAATCTTATCCTACTCAAATCCGGGGTCAATCATTATCTTCCTCACATATCCCCATAAACAGTGCCCCTTACTTTGTAACCCTTTATGAGTGACTCATGGGCTTTGTAATCATTAGTTAGCTTTGTATTATTGTAAAAAAAAATTAAGCAGCTATTTTCATTACTTTGTCAGTATTTCTCTTTGCTTATTATCCTTAACATATGTTAACTTACTTGACAACATGCCTTCTACTAAGATATTTGTATATAAATATTGTATTGCACACTTACAATGGAGTCCTCTTGTCTTTTTACAACATTTTATTTCAGTGTTCAATTGGATCTACAAATGTAAGCTGAGAATTGATTGGAATCTTTTTCTCCACATATCCTTACAGCACATTTGAATTCATTTTCATTTAAATTGTTCTGTCAACTTTTAGAACAACCCATTCTATGGGTTTGTTCATGCATACAATCCACATGGAAAAAATGTTTCTATTTTCAGCACAAGTCTATCATTCATCACTAGATCATGTGTAGCAGCAATATTTTAAGCACACTTATAATATTGCTACCACATATGGTCTGGTGCTTCTGCTATATATTTAGAGAACTTTGATAAAATCCAAAGAAGAATCTGCAATGTTATTAGTCCTGACCTGGCATCTCAGCTTCAGTCACTTTCCCACCACCATAATGTAGCTTCCCTGTGCCTTTTCCATAAATACCTTTGTGGTAATTATTCTGATGAACTTTCTTCTATGGTAATTAAACTCTGTGAATTTAAGTGCAGTATAAGATTGATGGCAAGATCTCACCTTTTTACAGTTGAAATGGCAAGATGTAACCATAAGTTCTATGCTAACAGTTTCTTTTCTCGTACTTCTCACTTGTGGAACTCTCTTCCAGTTTCTTACTTTCCAGTCAAGTTTGATCTTCAAATAGTTAAATGCAATATTAATCATTATCTTCTGTCCTTTTAATTTCTATTCTTTTACTGTTCTCGCTCCTTAATCATGTTTTTCTTACATTCTTTCAGTAACTCCCCTAATTAGTGGCTTTGTTGCTTTGCTTAGAGTGAAAATATTTAAAACAAAAAATAAAATAAAATAAAATTAATGTAAAACAATACTTTATCATTGTTGGAATTGTAACTTTCATGGGAAAGGCACATAAAAAGAAATTTAAATTGGAATTTAATATTGAACTGTCATTGGCATCATAAAAATATTGTGTATCTTTCACATATATATATATATATATACATATATATATATACATATATATATATTTATAATTATTTATTTAAAAATATGATACCAACACGCTACATAAGAGTTCTCATGGTTCAAAACAAGAGCCGAAAACTTCAATATAATTACTTGAATTAAATTGAACTAAAGTACTAAGCTCCGTTCCATCTTCAAGCAAAATTTTTTTTGGAATAACTTATTTCTGAAATTTCAGAAATAAGTTATTCCCAAATAAAATTTCGTAACGTATAGTTTATTTTGTTTGGTAGTAACGTGTAGTTTTAACTGACTTCAATAATGTTATTACTTTCAAAAGAAGATGTTAAAATTAGTGTATTTTTTTCTTATTGACGGAGAATGAAAGAAGGTAAGAAAATATGGTTCAAAAGTAAAAAAAAATGACTAGTTTCTGAAGAGGATACTGTGGATGATCACACATGCAAAAAGTGATCTGCGAAATTTCTCATTGAACGATGCTCCACGCATAAATGGACCAAATGATGTTTGTAGTGGTTAAATCTAAGTATTGTTTGAAGATAATTAATCTTATGATGTTTATAGCACAATAGTTACCTCCCTTGTTATATGACGCTTAAGCAAACACTATATTTTAGGGGGACAATCAATTCAGGCCTTTACAGAATTCTTGTAACAAATAAAAAATATAACAAAAGTTTCACCGAAAGACTGTAAGAGCCATGTAGATAAATTCTTTGCCTAGAAAAATAAGAAGTTGTAGTTTCTTGAAAAAAAAAAACAACGGATAAATACTATATATATTATATATTATATATATATATATATATATAATAATAATAATAATAATGGTCTTAACTATTTAAAAGAAACCAGAGAAATAAAATCATCTTCCATATTTTCCATCTGAACTGTTTTAAAATTCTATTTTTATTATTGTGAATATCGGGATGAATTATTTTCAAACATAGTAAATAATGAAATAAGAAAAAACATTTAGTGTTCTATGCATTGCATTCAGATCTGTTTTAAAAAGCTGATTTTTTTTCCTGATAATATACTATTATTGAATACAAATTAATTAAAAGTAGTAGCCAAATTAAAAATTTTAAAAAATGATATAACGAGAACACGCATGAAATGAGGAAAAGTTTGCATCAATGCAAGGGAGGTAACTTTTGTGCTCTTGTTCTAAAACCTTATTTATGATCTAATTAATGTCAGCATTTTTACTTTTTGTATAATGCAGATGTTAAAAATATTGTGAATGCCTTCAAAAGAAATAGTCATTTGTCTTATTTTTATCTTAATCTTGCTGTAATGCCTTAGTTGACAGTTCAAAATAAATTCATTTCCTGATTAAACACACTTTCTAAATCAGCATTTTTGGGGGCGTGGAAAGGGTTGTTTTAAGAAACTCCTCCATTTTATTAAGGGAATCTGCCTTAATTCTATATTCAGAAAAAAAATAAGCAGTGATCCAAATCCACACAAAGTTGAAATAAGAAAGGAACATTAGTACCACACTCCAACTATCCTTCTTGATTGTTTCTAAACCAGTAAACAAGACTGATGATGTAACTATAGAAAACATTCCAGAGGTGTAGAACAGATTCAAAAGATTTGTCAACTTTACATGTGGATGGTGTTCAATAGTAAAAATACTTTTCATACCAGAGCTGATCTCTTATGGGAAAAACAGTTTTGAAAAAAGATTGAATTTATTACATCCAATGAAAATATAGAAAAGAATGTGAGGATAGAACCTGCCATCTTCATTAGTCAGTACATAATAAAGATAGGGGACAAAAAAATCTGCATTTATTGATGTTGAAATCACTTTTTTCAAGATTATCTATGACAGCTTTATTTCAGTTTTTAATGTCGGATCATTTTATCTGCTGCAGCTGCCATCCCCTATGAGTCTTGCTAATCTAGTGGTGTGGGAGTTACTCCAATTTTCTCTCATGACCATTTGTTTGTCTATCTCAAACATGCAGCTTGAAATTGAGAAAGCCTCATCTAAAAAAATTACCACATCTATAAAAAAAAGAAAAAAAAATTCATGCAAGAAAAGAAACCTCAAGCATAAAATATTTCTTGTATACTTAAAAACATTTATTCTGACATTTGCAAACAAATCAAATACAAAAAAAAGTTCTAGTTTTAAAAACCAAATTTTATTCATCTTCCCGTTTTCTTTTACGATGCGCTCTGACCATATCTGAAGTTTTCAGTTTTTCCACTTGTCGTGTCTCCCACAATTGAAAATCTGTCAGCGATTTTTGTCCCACCTTAAATAAGGCTTTTTCCATTTCATCCAAATTTGATGTCAATTTTGAAGTGTCTTCATTCATGATATTCTGTGATGCATCCATGATTTTCCGAAATCTTGTTTGGAATGTCTGAAAGAGCACAAAAAAGTGGAGTGAAAATCTGAAATTCAAATATAAAATATTCATACTAATATCCCTTTTTTGTTTTATAATTTTCTTTTCATTTCCTTTCTGTTTGTTTTTCATAATTTGCTTCTTTCTCAACAGGATTAATTTTCAGTTCATATAAAAAAGCTCATATGGAATTAATAATTCCATATGAGCTTTTTTTTCTTGAGCCAAATTGAAAGAAAAACAAATCCAAAAAATAAACCACAAAAAAAAAAGAAAAGAAAAAGAAAAATCTGTTGTGAAAAAACCCCAAAAAAACAGCATGACTGCTAATGTTTGTAGTAAAAAAGTTTCAGCAATAACCAACTTTATAGTATTTTTCACTCATGATTCACATATAGCACTAAATTCTACATTTAGTTTATTTATGCAGTGTTTTAAAAAAATTGTGTCTCCTTTGCTTTGTGCACCTTTCAATATGAGATCAGGTCTACTATTTATTTTATCTCTACATATGGTTCTTCCATGTCTGATTTCATTATCTTGACTTAGACCTTTAAATGTTCAAGGTTTTGTCCTGAAAGCAGGTGGTTTCTCCTTTATATTCCCTACTATAACTACATATGTAGTTCTTGGTTAGATTCTGTCATGTGGAACGCTAATCTAACCTGTAGCACATTTGCATCGATTGAAAGGAAATCATACTGAAAAGTGTGGCTGCATAAGCAAATTAAATATGAAATTTAGTGCAATATGACTATCAGTGTTCAACATTGCGAAAACATTAATGGCCAGTCATATATATATATATGAGAGAGAGAGATTTTGTGAATCTGGTTTCAGAATTTAAGTTTCAGTATGCAGCTTTGATGCCCAGATTGGGGAATTGTTCACATAACATAAATAGCAAAATTAAATTAAAAAATACTACAGGTGATATACATCCAATGACAATCAACAAAAATATTCAATAAAATGTTAGGATACTAGTCTGAATAATTTGTGGAACAAGTTATATTATTATTATTATTATTAGTCCATTTATTAATTACATTTGAGTACCTGAAGAAGGATGAAAAAAGTGTTTATTTTCAGTACAGCTTTGTTGTTTAGAATATATATTTTGTATATAAATAAATGCAAAGTAGACAGAGGCAATCAAATGAGTCAAATTAGCTATGAATTATCTAAATAACATTAGGTAACAATGTGCAAGGTTGGAAAAATAATTTCCTGATAATTTCGAACTTAAGGAGAACTGGAAATTTTTTTTTTTTCTGCAGTTGTTTCAATGAGCAAATATAAAACTTCAAATAATAAAACATTTGTTTAAATATCTACATAAATAAAAAATAGAACCAACATCTTTGTCCAAAGTTCTTATTTGAAAAATAAATCACACAACTTCAATAAGCATCCTCATAATAATTGAAATTTAAAAAAAAAAAGATAAAAATATTAAAATAAAATCCCACCACTTTTTTTTACATTAAAAATGATCTATTTTGTTACTCACTGAAAGTAAGCACTTGGACACATCATCAATTTCTGGAAAGGAAAAACATTGCAATTTCATGCCAAAGTTGTAGTAATAAGGTCCCAGTTTGTAGAGGTTCACAACATTTGCATCAGCTTTCATTACTTCTCTATAACTCTCACGATAAGCTTTGGGTAATTCCACACTCACAATCCGTCGCTTTTGGCTACACAAAGCATATGCTAACCAAAATGGGAGCTCCAATTTTGAGCCAGGTGGAATGTCTTTATCATCTGTACTGGAATCGAGGAAACCTAGAACAAAAAGAAAACAAAAAATAAGAGATTGGATCAAATATTTTATGATAATACTAAGGAAACAATTTCACAGTTTTATTAGAAAACATTAGAAATCCCTTTGTGCAAATTTCAGACTTCTTTTTAGTGTTTCCTTCATCTTTTCAAAAGACAAAAAAAAAAAAAAAAAAGGATGATGGGAAATCTTAAAAAGATGTCAGTTTATAGAAATCATTCTCAGAATGTTAATGCAAATAAACATTGAAAATTTTACAAAATCAACTGTTTTTCTTCTTGGTATTTGTGTTTTGTAATCTTTATAAAGAGTATTCCTTGATTTGCACATTGTTAACATACAATGTTAAGTTTCATATAAACTAGACACTGTTGAACATTTCAAGCAGTGTCACCTAGCTCTGACATATTTCGTTTGTTAATTAAATACTAATTAAGTCAAAACATTAATTTAGAAATTGTTTATAGTTAATTGATTTGAATGTACCAAGATTGCTTAGCAAAGCTGCTGTAATCTTATAAAAGAATACTGCTGGAAAAGATGTTGAATTTAATAAAAAAAAAATTTGTGTAGTTTTTTGTTTTTTTTTACCTTTTAATACTAATCTAAAATAAAATCTTGTAAGAAATTGCACAAGGAGATGTTAGTTTGGTTACTTTGAACTTTTTCTTAATTTTCCCTTAAATGACAGTTTAATTGTACATTATTTATTATTTAGGTCATATTGTTTCATAAAAAATTAATGTATGTAAAACATATAATAAATAAGCATCCGGCCAATCCTATATTTATAGAAATGGAAAAGTGACATTAAAAATAATTAAATATAACAGTAAAAATTAAAATTAATTAATGCAGTTGAAGAATTTTTAATTTCATCAAGTTTTGCTTAAATAATAAAAGGGGTGAAATATCCTTTCTCATCGCTTCTATTCAGTTAAATTTATGATTAAAGAAGGATTTTGTATTCTTCATTATCTTGGAAATGGTGGAATTGCTGAGGAACAATTCCAACAAGGAATGTAGCACAGGATGAAACATGCAACAGACTTGAAGATAACACAAACTTTAAGAATATGATAAATATGCAAGAACTTCTCATTCCAGTTCCATGATCATTTGTATTTACCACATGAACAACAAAATCACTATTTTGGTTTAGAAAAATAAATGATGAGTCCTGATCCAATATGCCATTTAAAAGAGCCACTTACTCACTAATCTCCTACAGGTTCCAGAATAATTCTCTTTAAATTATGCAACAGAATGATCTTTGGCCACAAATTCAATTTTTTTTATAATTTGCAAACTGTTGCTGATGCTTAGTTGCACCTATTGTATATGATCATGATAAGCTTTAGAAATGTACGTTTTATATTTAGCCATGATTTTGACCAAAATAAAATAAGTACATCTTGGAAGTGATTCTTAAAAAAGGTCTGCCCTCACAAGTAATAAAGATCTGACAAAATATCAAAGACACTTCAAAGATTTAGTTGTGCAAAACATATCACTTGAAAACTTTGCATGATTTTATTATCATTATTATGTAAATTGTTTTTCTTACTAAAAGTATATCTAAACAAATCTTTTATTATAAATCAATACTCTTTTTTTTTTTTTACAAAAAGAAAGATGTCTTAAAGACATTTTGTTATTGGTTAAAGCAAGTGAAGAAACATATTTTTCAATGTTTTTTTTAACCTGCATAGGTGCATACAAAAATGCAAAAAATATGCACAAGTGAAAGTTGCAATTCCCAAAGAGAATACAAGAACTCACCAATGTTGTCCTGAATGGATGTTTATTTAAAGAGGAGATTGGAGTGTATATTTTGCACTTTTATAAATTTTTCAGTATTTCGTCTTCCATTCACCTATCAAGTACAACTAGAAAGATACCCTATTTAAACTGATGTTGTTGTTGCCTGCATCCTTCTAAGAATAGTTTGGGAATAGAAATGAATAGAAATAGAATGGAATAGAAACTGGAAACCCATCCGTATACTCTACAGTTAAAGTAGCAAAAGTGGATGAAAGACAATGTCTAGAAAGAGGTTAAGAAAAACAATTACAATCAGTAATAATATGCTCTTTAAATATATAACTGGTATCTCTGAAACCTGATCATTATTAAAGTATTATGTGTGTGAAGGTGGGATGAACAGTCCAAGATAATTTAATTTTTTAAAAAATGCCTTATTTTATTGCAAGACCATTATGAAGCTTAATAAAGAGATCATGTTTCCTGAGGATATTTTCACCCTCAATGCCACTTCTGTGTGCAACAAAAGAGTAAGAGCTATAATCGAGATAATACACAAAAGCAAATCAACATTCCCTGTAGGTTACTCAGACCTCTATACACCTAATGATGGCCAGATGGCACAACAGCCAAAACGTTGTGATAACAACAAGGATGAAGACAATAGTTCACATGCAAATAGTGTAAACATGAACAAAATTTTTTCTTTCATTCAACAGAATAAACAACAGCTTAAAGTGAATATCAGGTGTAAGTAAAAAAAATATTGTTTTGAAGGATTTGCTAAAAAGTAAATCAAGTGCCTATATCGTGTCAAAAGGAAATGATCTTGCTTGAGTGACATTTAAAAATTTTGTACCTCATATAATAAGCTTCTATTTTTCTTATGAAATTGTGAATTGAAAGTTGTCTTGAATAGCAACTGTTCTAGATATTTTTATATTAATGCAAATGTCTCCCAGAGACCTCTTTGGACCTAAATTGTTTCTAATTTTCATCAGTGATCTTCTCAATATCATCAGTTCTCAAATCGATATCTACGTTGATTACACAACTATTTGCTCCTGTCAATGGTAAGTTTGACTAATTCAATAAGGTCAAATTGGCAGCTGATCTAAAAACAAAAAAAACAACTTCAAACTCATTTTAATACAGTCAAGAAATCACTAGTTAATAAAATGCTTCCAAAACAAAACTGCTCTCTTTTAATTTTATCTGAGAGAACTTTTTTCTGCCTTACATCAGCATTGGTGATGCTAACATGTGTGAGAGTGACTTTGTGTTCATAAGCTAACGTTATCTAGACAATTCTTCTCACCAGAATCAATCTTACATATTTATAAGTTTACCATTTGTCCATGCATTGAATATTGTTGTCACATCTTGTTTGGTACATAAGTATTTAGAAATTCTTCATAAAATACAAAGAAGAATCTACAATGTTATCGGTTTTGACCTGGCATCTTGGCTTCAGTCACTTTCCCACCACCGAAACATAGCTTCCTTCTGCTGTTTCTGTAAGTATTTTCAAGGTAAATGTTCTGATCAACTTTCCTCTTTATTATCTAGATTTTACAAATTTAAGTGCAGTATTACTAGATTGGCAACTAAGTCTTATTATTTTTTTACAGTTGAAATTGGCTAGATTTCATTTAACCTGCTTTTGTGAGCTCAATGGTTTCAAATATCCCTAACAGATATTCGTGGATTTCTTCCTGATAATGAAATAATAAATTATATTTCCATTTTTTTTTTTTTACTTATAGAAAAAAATAATTGAAATTATATCGTATTTAATGTACTTTATCTTTTTTAGCGGAGGATCATCAGTTACGTAAAAATCTTGTGACTGGACAAAAAATGTGGCGTTTCCCTTTTTTTTTAACTGACATTGTGTCATATCTGTTTCCTTAAAGTTCTTACTGAAGTGGTAGGATTTTCCCCTACGGAATTATTCCAAATTCAGTCAAACGTTCACTAAATTGGATTTTTATTTGTTTTTTTGGTTGCTGGAAAACCCATTAGGTGTAATTCAACATCTGCCGTGTGAATAATCTTGGGTTTGACACTTGACAGTGTTTTTTGAAGTAATGTGGAACGGATTTGTTAACCGAATTTCTTGCAATTTCCTTTCTACCTGAAAAATTATTGTTGGTGTGACGTAACACAGAACTGTTTGTCTGAAAAGTTTTATTATGTCGTCCAGCCTAAAATTTTTAAAGTTACTCACCCATTCGGTAAAGAGTCAATTCCACTCTGCTCTGTATTTTGTCTTGCGTCATTAAAATGTCATCAATGTCAAAATATTTCATTTTGTCTCGGACAAAAAGAAATTCCAAATAGTTATCTGTTTGTTTTGTGGTTGACAATTCATAAATGAGCGCTAACATTCAGTTGATATTAACAACAGCGGCAGAATTTGCAGTCAGTATATAGAAGAAACCTCACACGAATAAAGCGCAAGTGATAATTAAAAAAGTTTCCGTATATTTAAAAGAAAAAAAGTAGCAATAAAGATTTAACGGCTTTTACCTTATGTATTAGAAATTTTATGCATTAATTTGTTTCGATATTAAGGATTTTAAAATTTTGAACTTTAAAAAAATATTTTTTCCAAATTTTACATGAGAAATGTTTATAAAACAGTGTTTGTTTTTTTGTTTGTTTGTTGTTTTTTTTTTCAAATTTAACTTATTCTTCACCACGGATAATTCTAACAATATTCCACAAATAGTTAAGAAAGTATTATTATCACCTACACTACACAGTATTTGTACTGTCATGTAGTTCAAAAGAAAAAAAATCAACTTAACTAAAAACACCGTTTTTAAAAAAGCATCATAGTACTTGTGTAAAAAATGTCTTTTTAGAGTTTTTAATAATTCACTTTTTGATATTTTTACAGCTTTTAAACATTGCTTCTTTTTTTTTTTTAATTTTCTTTATCGTACAAAAAATTTAACATTTCATTTTGTTTTGAGTCATCCAGTTATTTCCCTTGACATTTAAGTTTATAATGTTTATTCAATTGTCTATGAAATGAATCAAATAATAAAAATGAATTTTTCTTCTTGGCCAATGAAAATAATTCCCGAGAACTTAGCAGGAACTTTACCGAGAACCATCTTTCTCCACTAAAAAAAATGAGGTTATTTTTTAGTTGTTTGTATCTATAACATTTCGGCTATAATCAACTGGCATTCATCAGGTGTCCGAAAGCTCATCATGATGATACAAGTATCAAGTCAGAAAAAATAAAGTAATTTGTGAAAATAGTTATCATTTACTTGTTTTAAGCTGCCTCAGTTAGATTTATTCGTAATCAACTGACTATTAGCAATAACATCAATTTATACTTGGTAAATTATTTAATGTTTTTTATTTTTAATTTGTCCCCTTTTCTACACAGAAAGAAAACCCCACCCCTAACCTTAACACCTAACTCTAAAGAACCTTAAAGTTAGGTGTTAAGGTTAGGAGTGGGGTTTTCTTTCTGTGTAGAGAAGGGGACAAATTAAATAATACAATCAACCCTTCTACTTTACCAAGTTTGTGCATTAATTTTTGTTTTATTTTCAATTTTACAATATAAAAAATGCTTTATTTTTATTATTTAATTTGTTCTTTTAATTTGTCATTGCTATTCAAAATGGAAAAAAGGTTCTGTTGTATTATTTAATTTGTTTTTGTTATGAATAAAACTACACTTACCAAAAAAAAAAATACATTTCTTTACAGTAGTGCGTAGTGATTTTCTACAAGGAAAGTCTGTAAAAGAAGTAAATAGGCCAAATTTTCTGATTACGTCTGCGTAGGTACTACGCAGTGAATCAGTAAACATGATGGCAGTAATGGGGGATGAATGACCAACAAGAAGTCCGATTTTTTCTTGTCAATAACTCCAAAACAGTAAGGTTTCTTCATAATTTAATTGTTAATTTGAGTTCAGCATGTACATTTGCATGGAATTATGACAATTTCGGAAAAAATTTAATCGATATTAGCGCTCGTGAAACAAAACCAAAATTTACGAGAGGTTGAGTAAGCAATAGAAAATAGATAAACCTTAATTCAGAAATTGTAAATTTTTTGTAAAATACAGTAAAGTTAAATATTTTTGTTAACAATTTTTTAAACAATTATGAATAAAAAAAATTATGAACTGTGTTGAGTTTTCACAAGCTTTTCAATGTTGCAGAAACCTTGATAATTAGTTATCTGACCCCTTAAGTGCTCTCTCTGCAAACAGATTTGTGGATGGTGTTAAAAAAAAGCGTCATCTTTCTCTGGTACTCTGAGACATTAAATCTTTATCTGAGTCATTTTGTAGTAGTAAATGCAAGGAATCAGATCTCTCTTGTTTCATATCTCTATTTCATCCGTGATGAAATTATCCTACATTCACTGCTAAATAAGATGATTGATAATACATAGCAGTTCAGCAGTCTTTTCTTTGTTTTCTTAATACTTTGTTTAGCTTTTGGAAGGGATCAATTGAGAAGGTATTTCTTCAGTACTGCTGAGATTTTCAGCATCATTTGTAAGGACGTTATAGGTCTATAATCGTATGAAGCTTTCTTGGTGTTTTTCTGTATAAGGCTAACTTAACTCATCATTGTGGGTTATGCCCACATAACTTATCCAATTTTGTCAAGCACCTATAAAAACAGGAAACTTCCTGTCTTCATCCTCTTGTCTATCTTTTCCTTCTAACATGTAGCAGAAATGGCAACACCAACCAGGATCTCCCTGGGTATGAAAATATCATTGCCCTTAATAAATTAATTTTTTTTTACACACACACATATACATGTGTATCATCCAAATAATTCCTAACTTGTAACGTCTTCTTTCTTCTGTATGTATACTAGTGTATTTTCTCTTCTTACTCAGTTATATAAAAACCAAAACTATAAAATATTGCTTTGTTGAAATTCATTCTATTTCCTTACATTCATTATTTACATGTGTAAATATTGTTACCACTGCATTTAGTCTAACTAGTAGTGCCCACAACATCATCTATTCAGGAATATTTGTTTTTTTTTTAAAGATATGCATAAATTGTATTAGGCCCTCATGAATTGCTGAAACCAGAAGACATGGATCCTGTCATATCCAAACACTTTCCAATTGTCAAAATTTTAAGGTTCTTTTCAATGAATCTATGTTTAACTTCTGGTTCTTTGAATCCTTTCAATTCACTTTTTAAAATACAACATGCTGAGTAGGTGGCTAGCTACTTTGCATGTCTGTTATGTTACTTTCTCCATTTCTACAAAAATGGTATCTTTCATTAATTAGCTTTAAACAATTTATTTCAAGTGTGTAACTAATTTGCATCTACCATCCAGGAAATCATTTTTATAATGCATAACCCAAAATAGCAATTCTAAAGTCTCCAAAACTTTATTTGATTTTAGGTTTTAATTTAGAAACAGAAAAAGAATATGGTGGTCGATTTAGAAAAGGAGTCAATGTTTGTGGAAAGTGATGATATTTTCTATGTAATAACATAGAAAATAATGTTTAAGAAATAATTTTAAGTTAGCTTTTATATCTTTGTTTTAAAAATAAGCTAAAAGATCAAAAAACTTTAACACGATAAAGGTTCTGGTCTTTTTATTATGATTGAGTCAAGCATTGAAAATTCTGAAATGAAGTATTGTTATCTTAGATTTTAATTCTTTCTACTTTTCAGCTGGAGCATATATAGGAATCTACATAATGCATATGTACTTGATAATTAATAAGTTGGGTGTAAGGTTCTACTAGAGGAGGGTCTGTTTACAGTCTGCTGTAGGAGTTACCAATTTGGATATTGCAATTTTGTTTGAAAATTAAAGCCTTGATATACTAAATAATCTGTACAAGAGTGGGTAGTGTTGGATATGACATGATGAATTTGCTAAGACAGTGGGTAAGGTGTGGTAGTGTTCTAACTGAAAGACCTCAGAAAGAAAAAACATTTCTAGGTGCTTAACATCAAGCTGAAAAACTAATTGGATTTAATTTTATCTTATGTCAGTTATTTGTATCATTCAATTACCATCCAGACCATTTCTCTGCCATTATAACAAAATACAGAGATGATAACATCATAAAATTCTTTTGATGTTTTTTTGTATTCAGAACTATGTCAAAAATACCCATACTTATAAGTGTGCATGTGGATGAAATCCATTGCTGAAGAGTTAGAGACCACACTCTCAAATATACAAGAAATGATTGCAGTTAGTATTCTACGATTGACAATCAAGCAATCCAAAGTCACTCTAGAACTAAGTAAACTCCCTAAACTAAAAACACACCCACACACATTTCAGGACAAGTTTCAGGGCATATTAGAAAACTATCCTAACCATACACCCATCTATACAGATGGATCAAAGTGTGAGGGAAATATGGGATGTGCAGCAGTGAGCCAAAATCTTACAATAAAAAAAAACACTTTCCAAAGAGAAGCTCTGTTTTCATTATGGAGGCTTACACAACATCATCACACAGATCAAGCAAAAAAAAACTTCTTAATTTTTTCAGACTCATTGTTTTAACAGCTATGAAGTAAAAAAAATCCACTAACCCACTAATTATCAAACTATTATGTAAAATGAGCAGCCCTACTTGCAAAGATAAAGACATCAAACAATGTTGAATTCCTAGCCACATCAGAATGGAAGGTAAGAATAAAGCAGGCCTAACAGCCAAATCAGCTTTAGATATGGCTGTAGACACAAGGACTAAAATCCTATACACTGACTTTAAGGAGGTCATAAACAAATATATTTAAAAGGAATGGCAAAGGTGCAGGGACAATAACCCACAAAATAAACTCTTTGCAATTCGTCCCAAACTAGGAGAATGGAATTCAACTTTCAGAAAATCTCAAAAGGGAGAAGTAGTACTGGCCCGTTTATGTATTGGCTACATGAGAATAACTCAGTCGTACTTTAAACAACGAAGATCAGCCAGAATGCCAAGCATGTGAAATTACATACACTATTAAACATTAACTGAATGTTCAGACCTTGCTCTCTCTCTCTCAAGACAAAACTACTATAATATAAACAAACTATATGAGCTCTTTGAGAAAACAAAAGTGGATGACATAATATTATTTCTTAAAATAGTGGGCCCAAACCCAAAAATATAAACGAGAATGTCAATAAAACCAATTTCTCTACAAACTGTGTATCTGAAAAGAATAAGTCAATGAAACCAGACTCTCGACAAAAACCCTCTTTACAAAAATACATCAACAAAACCTGTTCTACAAACTGAT